GTATTTTCAACGGTCATCGCCAGGAGTGGGGGCGGGCACTCTGCGTATGCTTCCCCAGTTGTGGTCTTTCCCGTGGTTCAACAATTAGCAGGGAATATATTACAAAATGGTGCGTGCATCCGCTGCCTCGGGGTAAGGCGTGTACAAGTGGGGTGGGGGCACAAAGGAGCCCCCACCCCTGCCCACGGCGGCCTGCCCCCAAGCTGTCCTTTTGGGGCACAGCCTTGACTCGGGTTCCCCTTGCGGGCGAGCTGGGAGACGGAGCTGGGCGGGACTCGCACGTGACCTTCCTGCCGGGGGAGAGACCCCATTCTCTTGCCGAAGGCCCCCCCGCCCCAGCCCCAGCCCCAGCCCAGCCCCTGAACCCACCTGGGAGGTGGTCGGGGGTCTGGAGGCCTCTGCTCCTGCAGGGGCCTGGGATCCTGCTGAACTAGAACAGGTTGGACCTACGGGACGGGACGGGACGGGAACTGGAGAGCGAGCGGGGGGCGGCTCCCGGCACCGGGGACCTGCCGGGCCGGCTCTCCCAGTCGTGCAGTCCCTACCGTTATTGTTGGCCGGGGCCTGCCAGCACCCAAGAGCTCCGGACAGCCAGCCAACCACCCGGCTCTGCTCCAGTGCCCCTCCCCCACGGGCCCTTTTTGGTCACCAGGAAGGGCTGGCTGCACCCCTTCAGACTGGCCAGGGCAGAGGACGCCTTCAGGAAACCATGTCCCACAGAACAAGGTCCAGCCTCCTCTGGGTCAGACCTCACCCTGCCTGACGTTCCAGACCCGACCTACATATCTGCAGGGGTCATAGGGGTGTGGTGGGAGGGGGACACGCGATGGAGAATGTGTGTGCACTGGCCGGTGAGGTTTGCCTTGATAAGGGGAGGCCCAGCGCCCTGCGAAGAGCCTTGTGCCACATACCCACAGTGGGGCAGGCCCCGTGGCTCCCAGGTCCCCAGGCCTCGGCTTGGGAACCTCGCCCTCCACCGCCCTCCCAGCCTGAGGTCAGCCCCACACCACCTGTGTCACCATGGAGTGGAGATGTGGACACCACCTTTGGTAAGCATTTCTCAGTTTTTATTTAGTGAGGATCTTGGTCCCGGCATTTCCGCTGGCCCTCGGAAAGCTGTGCCCAAGGGTCGGGCAGCACACCTCCGGGCAAAGTGAGGCAAACACAGCAGTCCCAGGCGGAGAAGTGGGCTAGAACCCGGGCCCACCAGGGCCTTTAGAGGAAGGCCTCAGGCCCGGAATGCCAGGCTGGAGGACAGTAGGGCCCCTGTGGCCCGGGAGTCACACGCAGTGAGAGAGGCGGGGCCGAGCTGTGGCATTTATTATATCTGCTTTGGCGAAAATAAATAATTCTTCACAAACGTTCTTCTCTGGCAAAACTTGCCGAATGAGGGAG